CTGCAGGAATAAAAGGAAACTTTCAGGAGGCAGTGTGTGACAGGACTTTACTCCTTCTGCCCCTTCTGGAGAACCTGATACAGGAACATCCCAACAGAACGTAGAGGAAGAGCTCGATGTCACCTCTCTATGCAATGCTGTACCTTCATGGCCTTGTGTCTGGTAGCTGGATGGTGTGGGCTGTCTGAATACTGACACGTGTGCCTGTCTTGTAGGTTTGGATGGAAATGGCATGGATTCTGTGGACAGTGGCTGTGCCATGAGGAAGACAGTGACTCGCCAGACCTCTAAACCAGGAGGAGACTCCAGCAAGTCTGACTTCATCATCTGGGAAATAGAGGTCCCAAAGGTAACCAGCCGCTGGCCTGCTCGGGCATCCTGCCCTGCCCTACGTAGCCATCTTCTGGTTCCTCCAGCCTGGTACTGGCTCAGCGCCATCCCAGGGAGATCCACAAAAAATTGATGAGGATTTAAGCATTTCACTCCCGCTAGGGCTCAACAGGAGTGAAGAGCCAGTAAACAACTGTAAACGAGAGGGGTGTCAGGGCTACGCCCAGGGTAGCTGGGCTGGTGGTTGGGCTCATTATTGCCCATGATCTTCCACCCCAATCTGTTAGTCTGATGCTTTGAAAGCATTCAGAAATCTTTGAGGAGGGTACACAGTGAAGACATGTAGCAGTCATTTTAATGGCTCAGTAAAACATGGGCTAAGGAAGCAGTTCTACAGCAGAAAAATACGTTTCAGTGGTTAGTGAAGACAGGCTGTCACGTTCCATAGCATAGCTCACTTGACATTGTATAGGATTATCTGTAGTGACGCGGGCCCAGCGCTTCTGCTCTGGTATCTGCTCTCTGACAGTAAGTGGTGGCAGATGCCAGTGGAAGAGTAGAAGTGACAGGGCTCGCACAGACATCTGTGGTCTAATGGGCATGATAGCCTGCTTTGCTCTCCTGTGAAATTGTCTACTCCCTTTCCAATCTAATTAGCTTGTTTAAAAATTGCTAAAATTAATATTTCATCTCTGAATGAAAAAAGGCACGTAGAGTGCCTTTAAAAAGAACCTCAAACAACAAAATGGTGGGAGATTGGGAGAGGATGTGATTTTACTGGACTGCAGGAAGACGGTAGCCTTTGCCAGGCCTGGTTTTGTCCCATTGTGTCTTGGTGTCGTTCTGCGAGATAGGAAGATGGATCTATCCAAATGAGCTGCGCTTAGTGATCTGTATCACCAAGCAGCTGAACTCTGCACTGGACCACCATTGCCTTCTCTGTACCCCGCCTGGCCCTGCATTATGGGACCTGGGAACGTGGGTGAAATAAGCCAGAGAGAACCGTGTCTGATCTACGTTTCTCTTCCTGACTGTTGCTGCCTTGTCTCTTTCCTAAAGGAACGTGTTGGCCGTTTGATCAGCAAACAAGGAAGATTCATGAGCTTCTTCAGGCAATTTTCTGGTGCCAAAATGGTCTCAAGGCTCCCTTATTTCTGTGACTCCCAAGTCTGTCACATTGAAGGTAAGCAGAATATCTTATTATTCAGGGTCTAATATGTAGCTTGGGGGCCTTAATGAGGTGGGCAAGGAATGCAAACAGGTTTAGTCGCTGAGGCAAGGGCTTTACAAAACGTTTCTGTTCAGTAGAGGTATATGCCAAGCCTCCTGTGCCTCGGCACATGAGCCCTCTCTCCTAGAGGTGAGAAGGCATTTTAACATCTTTGGCTGCTGTAGTTTGACCAACACCTTTTCCAGGGTGGCTTCAAGCTCGAAGGAGGAGCTACGGGATGTGTATCAGCAAATGCAGTCTTGACTGTGAAGAATGTTAGATTAATGGTGACTGAAAAATATCTGCCAGTGAATTGGGTTCATACGGGAGACTAAAGCTGTTGAAACGGACGGGGGCCTGGCAGCCTGAGTGGCTCCTGTTGGTCTGACAGCAGCTTACATGGCTGATCTATTAAAATTTAAGTTGTTGGTGTAGCGCAGAAGGCTTCTGGGAGCTGTATTGCTTCACGGGGTGGGGGCGTCCTCAGCATATCTGTGCTACAGACTTCCTGCGGGATTTTTGTCTTCCAGGCTCCATGCATCAAGTAGAAAGAGTACTGAGCCTGATTGGCAAGAAGTTCCAAGAGCTGTGTCTCACCAACATCCACGGTCTACCTCAACCAACACCTTTGACGCTCCATTCCCTCCTTATGACTGCCTGGGTAAGTCCCAGCTTGCTGGCGATGCTGATGTCAGGGTGGAAGGCTGTTGTTGGTCACTGCCATGGCAGTAAGCTATACCCCTGTGGCTGGTTCAGCGATGCCCTCAAAAGCAGTTTGGGTTGTGTGGGGACCTGTTGTGCAGCTCGTGTAACTGTTACCGATGGGATTTATCTACCTGTTCTTCCACTGCTGTTTCCATTCTGCCTGAGCCGAGACACATAAAATCATGCAATCCTTTAGGTCGGAAGAGTTTTCATGCTGCTTTTGCTATATGGATACTTAAAAACGTTTCTTTCCTTATGTTCATGAGCATTTCTTTCCTCCATATGACAGCTGTTCCTCCCAGATGGAGTCGCTGTAGAGGTGGTCGTGGCAAACCAAGTCGATGCTGGGCACCTCTTCCTACAGCAGCATACGCACCCCACTTACCATGCCCTGCATAGCCCGGACCAGCAGATGCGTGCCTGCTGTTCCCAGCCTGAAATGCCAAGCCTGCCAGCTCCAGTAGAAGGCAAGTCACTTGATTGCACACAAATGGTTCAGTTGAGAAACTTCTACTAGGGTCATGCAAAAGCCTGATGCCCCTGACTTCGGCTTGAGAGGCTTCCCTGTGGATGAGAATGTGATAGTTCTCTTGTCATTTAATCTTCTTTTAAGATGCTGCCAGAGTACAGATGTTGCTCTGCTCTTCCTTACTCCACTCATCCCTGGGGGGCCTCCCCAGCCCCTTAGCTGCATGCTGAAATTCAGAATGAGATAGAGTCCATCTCAGGTTATTCCTAACCCACGTGGCGTCTGGTGTGTTTCTGCTGACAAAGTGTGGAACTCCTCCCCCATCTTCATAGCGTCACTGTCTGCTCATGGTGTGAAGTGGAGGGTGCATCAGATGGAAGGGGTTGTTAGCGCTCACTGTCCTGTCTGCAGACAGACCTCACCGTTAGTGACCAACGGCCGGGAGGGAACTGGGTACCTGGGTGGGACAGCATGGCAGTGGCAGGCAGAGGCTTGCGAGGAAAACCCTGCTCTCCAGTGCCCCAGCTGCAGGCCTGGCCTGATGGTGGTATGGGTGGGGTTGAGAGAAGAGGGAAGCAGCCTGAGAAATGCTGTTGGTTCTCAGTACATCACTGTGCAGCACTACTAATGCCTGAAGCGGGGATTTCTGGAAATCCACTTACACGGGGCCTTTTTTCTCTGTACCCTTGTGTTCTGCAGTTGGTGTCATATGCGCGGCTCCAGGCCTGGATGGGGCATGGTTACCGGCTCAGGTTATCAGCTCATTCCAAGAGACCGGTGAAGTGGAGCTCAGATATGTGGACTACAGAGGATATGACCGAGTGATGATCGACATGCTCAGACCAATCAGGTCTCTGGCTCCTCCTCCATGGCCCGGGGCTATATCTGTCTCAAATTTCCATCAGAGGCACCCCTGTTGTTTGAATTGCTTACAGGTTTTTCCACAGCTGCAGCAGGTGGAAAGGTTTGTCTCAGCAGGGGGGGTGGATTCCTTGGGAGCACAGCAAGCTCTCGCAAGGCTGTTCTGCAGGGGAGAGGGACTGGCAACTTCTGCCAGTTCAGCGTGGAAGCCGAGCAAAAGGGTGCCTTCAGGCGGCCCCAAAGTGTAGTTAATGGATGAGCTAGACCTAAGATTCTGATTCCCTAGGTCCCAGCCCCATTGGCTGGGAGAGCCGCATTGGCTGAGGGTTTCTTACACAAGCCCATTAAATGCTTGATTGTGCCCCGGAGCGGGGAGAAAAGCCGTCCAGCCTCCATTATGGAGGTGGTTTTTGCTTGGAGCCCAGTCCAACTTGGCACACTCATCAGACAATTTATCGCTGCTGCTCAGATTGCTGGGAGAATAGGCTGGGTTTTGGTTTATGTTTTTACTGTCATCAGTTTTAAACTGAATTCCTGTTAGAGCCATTGATTAATCAATGTCACCTTAAAGAATATAGGAGTAACTTAAAGCCATGTTCTTATTCTCATTGATTCTCTATTCTTTAAGGTCTGACTTTTTACCGCTGCCTTTCCAAGGAGCAGAAGCTGTCCTGGACAACCTGGTGCCGCTTCCAGGTAATGGAGCTCTCGGGAGGTGCTCTCGAGAGGTGCTCCTCCTGCGGGTTGGCATGGACGCCAGCTGTGCACACGCGATGATTCTGTCTAAAGTTTCTCCCTCCTGTTGCGAGCGTGGCCTCTGGTGTGACTACAGGATTTGTTCTTCTAAATGTGCCAGCTTAGCATAATCTGTCAGACTCCAGGGGAAAGATGACAAATGCCCGGGCTTTTTCCTGCAAGGAGGAGGGAATAAATTAGTTTCCTAACAGCAAAGCAGCAAGTTGGCAGGACAGGCAGGGCAGAGGTGAAGGAGCTGTAACGCCTCTGCCTTCTTCGTCACAGAGTGGCTGTAAATGTAAAATTGTTTTTTAATCTCTTAGGCAAACATTTGACATTTTCATTATAAAATGACTGATGTGTACAGTTCTGTGCTCAAAAGACTGCCCTCCAAGCACTGGAAGAATGTCGGTCCTCGCTTAGCAGTTCTTTCTGGTTTGCTTTATTCCCCCTTTTGTAGTGGCGTTAGAGATGCGTGCTGTGTTGGTGCCTCAAGAGCTGCCCCTCTGGGTGCGGAAGGGGTGGCTGTAGGATCTCAGGGTCAGGCCAGGTCTCACCACTGGGGTTTGTGGCTGGCAGGACTCCAGGGGGTACAGAGCCCGCCAAGGCTGTAGGTGGATGGCAAGGTTTAAGGTGCTTCTAGCAGACGTCAGTGTTTTGCGTGTTCCCTGAGGTAATCGTCCTCCTTTGGTATTTTTGGGGCTGGAAGGGTTCACTTGGTGCTGGAGATGGTCTCAGAGTAGGGAGCACAAAGGAGAAGCTCAGTTTTGCAGCAGTTTGGTAGGAAATGGGCAACTTTTCTTACAAACGAGCGCACTTGTGTCCAGTCTGCAGAGTAGATTGTCGCTGTATTGCCTG